GGCCACATGTGATTCTGGCACACACGGTGGATTCTTCAGTCTTTTAGTCAGTTAGGAGAGACATGGCTCGTGAAGACAGGGTGAGGTTAAAGGGCTTTTCCAGTTAGTGTACAGCAATGGTGTGTGTCCATCCATACTGCCCAACCAGGTCACCAGGAAGAACCTGGCCCATCAGTGGACTATCAAAATGAGTGCTAAAAACAACTTTGAAAACAAATTGCACATCACAGACACAGATTCAAAGAAAAATGTTTTATCAGGACAATTCTACCTGCTGTAGGACTGACCTATGTTTTGGTTTTATGTTCAGTTCCAGTTTTCCCCACTGATTCTGTGCATGACTTGCAATATCATAAGATTATATCATTTTAGAGCTGAGAGAGGCTTCAAGATCAATCAGTCCACACTTCTTAATCCTTTAAGCCGTGGTGCAAGACGCACTGTTTAAGTCATATACTTTATCAGTTCTTCTGTTGGCAGAACTAAAAATAATCACAGTGGTCTTTGCAAACAAAGTGATTGGCTCCAGATAGGAGCAACTCTTGTTTTCTTTTAGTTCAACAAGAGACGCAGATTGAGGTTTCATGGGGAAAAAAATAAGTGGAAAATAAATATTGGGGTATGGGCTAGAGGGGTCATGGACAAGGCTGGGGCTGCACCCATGTACCCAGAATAGCTGTGCAGCTCTACTCTCTATAGATAGAAACATCTCATGCCAGGTGTGAAGCTGAAGCCTCCCAGTAGCAAGACAGCTGCTGGATGGTCCCATACGAGGGGCTATTTTCCAGGCTCTGCAGATCTATTTTTTCCACCCTTATTCTCGTGGGTTAAATATTCTAACACCAAGCACTCTACTCTAGGCTCACATGTTTGTAATGATTAGCCAGTAATTATCACCTGTTTTAAAGCTTGTGTTTTTTTAGTCTGGACAAATGATGGAAAATGTTATTAAAATAAATTATTTACATATGCCTCCTAGAATTGGAATGTGGCTATAGTAATTCTTATAGAAGTTATTATATTCTAGCTTTTCAGGTAGGGAATTCCAGAACCAAGGGAGAGAGGATTTTAACAGCTATAATTCAAAGTCTGCCTACTTTGGAAATGAAATTTTACCATATATTTTGATTACAGAAATTTCCCCAAGCATTGAAATGTGATCAAAGTCATTCTTTAAAGCTAATAAAAACCACCTGGTGGCTGCATCTGTACACACTTCCTCTGCACTTTACCATGTTCTTTATTAGCATTAATTTTGGGCCATGGTTGGGCAAAAGACACAATGGAATGAAACCACGATATAATATAATACAAAAAAAAAAAAAAATTGCATCAAAAAAGCCAATGAACCTAAATTTAAGAACTCATAATTTTATTATTCTGGCTACAGCCTTGCTCTCAGTAGTATTTTGAGGACAACTTGTATTTCACCTAAGTCATGCACATGGATTTGACTTGAATACTATTGTTGCTTTCTTTTCTTGCCAGCCTATCCCAATCCTCCTATCCTTTACTGTTAAGTTACAGTCTGAAGTACTCCAGGAGGCTTTCTCTCCAATAAATTGCAGAATTGGTGTAAGTCCTATAGTGGCTGTCTTTTATGCTGTCTTATGATGCTTATTTCATGGATGTTAGTTTTGTTTCTCTAGGTACTTTTAGGCTTCTGAAACCTTAAATTCAATGAAATAATTCAGTTTCACTATATCCTTCCTTAACTCACTAAGTTACTTTGACTAATAGGGGTGTCACCAAATCATTTTTAATATTTCAGCTCAAAACATTTTATCCATAAAACCAGACAAATTAATCTCTAGCATACCTCTGTCAGGAGAGCATGGTATGCATTCACAGGTCCATTGGGTACTGGGATCTACTGACCACCACAAAGTTTCATGTATTTTCATTAGAGCACCTCTACATCCACACATTATATTTGCCCCCAGTGGGAAAATGTTCTTTACTTCAAATTACTGATATACAACTTTTAAATCCTGACCCATTAGGGACTACCAATATAATCCTGGTCAAATCATATATATGAATATTAACAGTCTTTATATCCTAATGGATTTCATTCAAGCATAGCAAACTCTAAAAATAACATTAAGTAAGCCACATATAGACACACTGAATGGGCTCAAATTTATGCCCAGTAGTAAAACTCAGCATGGGTTCTGACTTCAGGGATCCCTAAACTAAATTTAACATTACTTTTTCCCAAAGACAAATTCAGAAAGGGCCTCCTTTGGGCTTTGCTTGTCTTGAGATGAGAACAGGTTGTAGGGTCCTCCTCAGATAGCCCACTGATGAAGGTCAAGAGACATAAGCAAGACACATACGATGAGGGCAGAATAAATGGGCCATGGTTGTGTTTCAGTCTGAGGCAAAGTCTAGAAAAAATTAGCTTGAGTCCTATACCAGTTATAATAACCAGAAGCTAGATGTGAATCCTGACTGGTCCTGTGATTCCAGCATGAAATGCAATTCAACCCAAAGGTAACTTTCTTGACCAATTAAGTCAGATGCCAAAATGGCATTCTTATATCACACTAGAAAAATGTTCTTTTTTTGTAGATTTAGTCACTCATTATAAGTAGCTTTAGTATAAAAATGATTTTTTTCCAATGAAATGAAATTAAGAATGAAGACTAAAATAAAAGAACAAGTTGTTCCCTGGTTACTATCCTTCAAGTTCTCCCATCACTTGACCTATCTCCTGATCTGGCATAGAAGGCTCTCCACAACCCAGCTTCCACCTCTCTCTGCGTCCACTGCTTTGGTCCACTCTTCACATCTCACACTGGTGAGACAGCGTGTCGTTCACTGCCATGCCGTCCTGGGCCTCTGCACTGGCACGTGCTGCTCTCGGACATTCCTTTCCCGAAGACAGTCACCTACTTGTGACTCCTCCCTACTTGTCCCTCAAGCATCAGCCCAGGTGTCACCTTCTTCAGGAAGTTTTTCCTAAGTTCCCCGGACTTTGCAAAATGCCACCCACTTCGGGCTCCCGTGGCACCTTGGGCATACTTCGACCAGAGCACTCACCACCTTGTGTAGACTAATCGGTTATTAACTCCCAACCCCCAGCCTCCAGCTCCTCAAGAGCAGGCACCATGTTTATCCATGTTTGCAGCCACAACACCAAGCACACCACTGAGCACACTATCGCTCCTTAATAAATGTTAGCTGCATGGAAATGCAAACTTTGTAACAAACAAATTACATTGAAAATATCACTGGAATAACCACTCTACTTCTGATTATAGCTAATAGGTGCACTGTGAGATATGAGGACAGCCTGATTCAGAAAAGAAACACAATGAACATTTAGAAACTGGATGCCTTTCAATGTACTTCCTGTATACTACACAGCCATTTTTAATCAAGTGGAATAAAAAGCAGGAAACTGAAGAGAGAAACTATCCAAGTCCTGTAAGCCCAAACCCACCTATTTAAAAGTCTAAATTAAACGACTTTTCTTTTTTACTTTTTCTTTAAAATATATTATAGTAAAAATAGGCTCTGTCCCTGTTAATCTTGTTAATAAAACAGAACCAAGATCATCATTACTAAAATATATGCTTATTTTGGCTAACTTAAATCCTTTAAGAAAAGCAGCAGTTGCAAAATTTTCCATATCACAGTTCAAAATAGAAAACTTGAAAGAAAAATATGCTGTGGAAAAGTGCTATTTTTGCAGAACTGGACTAGAGTTTTATATACAGCAAACCATCTATAATGAAATAGATGCTTCCTTCCCCCCTGAAAATATTAGAAGAGTCTCCCTGCTATCAGAGCCAAAATAGATTCTTTTGAGCACCACAATCAAAACCCAATTTAATCCAATCAATCAATGACAGTGAAAGATGCAGGAAGTAAAGTTTATGAAGAAAGTCTCTGATGCTGAAGTTCTAGACGTGACTCTGCTGTTCAACACTGAGGAACTTGATCGAGCTACAAAACATTCACTCTGGAAAGATTCCTGATTGTGTCCCTCTGAAAATTCTTCTATGTTCCTTGGTGTACTATAACTTAATATGATAAATCGTTTAACTGGATGCATGGACAGTTCACCAAACAGTGTTTTGGAGTTTGAAGAAAGAAACTAATTTCCCACAGAGAATAGAATTCAGTCCAGAACTGCATTTAGCATGCTGGCTTTGTTAAGAAAATGTTTGACTGTATCAGTTTAAGAATCTCCTTGATTTTGTTTTGTTTTACATGACTAAGTTTTGTGATTTAGCCATGTAAAACAAAACATAAAAAACTTTACTGCATTTCTAGAAATGTCTAAGGCCTCTATATTTCTTGTAATAATATAATTAACTGAAAAACTATTGGGTATTTTAGATTTATAAAGGAATCACAAAACTATATAGCAATATAAACAACCTGGTGTCAATGTGTAATTAGGGGGACCAAGGAAAATTGTTCATTATAGGACGATGCTAATATTATTGATATCTCTTTTCAAAAATCTGTCTTCATGTGTCTATAATAAAAAGACCCCAAAGCAAAGGATGGCTATGTCTGGGACTAGTCTCTAGTTACTGTAAGCATTAACTCTTACAAACTTTCACCTGATTTATCACATGGCTTTTATTTCCTTGCCCTTCACTTTGTGGCTAAATTCTTCTATACTTCAGATGTAGTTTTACATCATACACTCAAGGTGTCACTGGTTCACAGACTTTTCCTTCTCTAAAAGTAAGTAATTAATGTCAACACTTGGTACTAATGACTTTCTATTTTTCAATGTTCCCAGCTACATTGAAGCTACATTGTTAGCTTATAAGACCATCTTGCTAGCTCTGGTGTTCCCACCAATAATCTGCATATTTGCAGAACATGACTCTAGAGGTATCTAGTGCTGTGTATGGAAAGCCAAAGAATGAAATGCAAACTAGACCCTCCCTGAAGACACAGAGGGAGATGTCATTCCATCCCTTTGTTCTGACTTTTGCACTCTCAGAATTCACATTATAGCACTTGTTGCTTACCTTGTGTCTGGTTTTAGGTTTTCTACTGTAGAGAAGGTTTGATTTGTAATTTGAATGGACTTGTTCTTCCCACTGAATGACCCATTTTCTCTGGATATAACTTCATATTCTGAAAAGCAAAAAAGCCAACAAATACTTGTCTTTATGTTCTGGCTGATTTAATTGTTCTTGAAGCTAATAGCATAATAAAGGCACTCTCATAAAAAGCTCGATTGTAGTTCAGATCTTATACATTACGTGTTGATATTATGCTTGATGTATACATTACATATATGTCTTACACATTAGCAATTTCCAGATTGGGATGGTTAGCGAATGACAAAGATCCAAAATCATTTTGGGAGTTGCTCATAGACCAATTCTGCTTTCCCTCTAGCAGAGCAGGGGAGGCCTGGTAACTGAAGATCTATGACGCTCCAGTGGTAGCTTTGGGAACTGGTACCTGTGATTTTGGTAGGCAGGTCAGCCTGCCATTGTTGGAAGGCACTCAGGGGCTGCGAGTAGGAGCCATATTTCCCGCCCTATGGGGCAAAGGCCACTCCACGTGGTGCTGCAGCAAAAACTGCTGAGTCTAAAACCACAGCAGCAGATGACAGCTAAACAACCTACTATCCTTTCCTAAAGTTCATTATTTTGATTTATGGAATTATGGGATTCTTGTACCTACTTCTTCAGTAAGGTACATAAGTTTTGTACTTACTGCTTAAATATGTCCCTTTCATAATTATCCTTGTATTTGTAAAAAGAAACTACTGTATGTCCTTAAGTCTGAACAGAGATCTGCATATATTTCACTTAAAGACTTGTTTCTATGAACTTGCAGGGTTAATCAAGAGAGAAAGAGTTTCAGAATATGAAATATAATTTACAAATTTGCTCATTGGTTTTCCCTGCTCTTGGTTGGGGTTTAGTTTAACACATGTGCCAAGGTGATACAGAAGACTAAAAAAAAATCAAACAAAAACTAAACAACAAAACCCCATTCAAAATCAGCTCCATCAATATGAAGAAGTACACGGTGGCTGGAGGCAGGAAAAAGGGGAGGGGTTCACGGGAGCTGGCACGTTCCTGGAGATTCCTGCAGGTGGCCCTGAGACCAAAGGTAGAAAACATGAAGCCATTCAGGGGACTTGTAATCACCAACTGTAATTTGGGAAGGATTTTTTCATGCTATATTTAAAAACATTTAAAAAGGAGCAAGACTCTTTCTAAATAATTTCTTTTGACTATTCTTCCAAAAATTCAATATTAAACTAGAAGTCAATGGGGTGTATCTGGACATATCAGTGCAGCTCTTAAAGGACCAGCTGCTGGCATTTAGCATTCCTTCCTCACACTCTTTTGTTCCCACCCTTTGGGGTCTGGCTTTGTTGTTTTTCAACTCTTTGCTCCTACTTCAGTTAGTTTGCTATTCTAATAGAGGATGGAGAGGGAGAAAGGGGGAGGATCCTGAATTCAAATATGTTCATTTTACCTCTTTACCTCAGCTGGGAGGGATATTTACTAGTAATTAAGTGGAAGCAAAATTGATTATTCATTTATTTTATAATTAATTAATTTATTTTTGTTACAGATGTTTCTCCTTTTCCCCCCACTGATTCCCCGCTCCCTCCCCTCCCCACCCCATCCCCAATTTTGTTGTCCATGTCCATTGTTCATGCATACATGCATATAAGTTCTGTGGTTTATCTCTCCCCCACCACCCCTTCTTCTGAGGGTTGTCAGTCTGTACCCCACTTCCACATCTCTGGGACTACCCCATTATGTTCATTATATTCCACAAATAAGTGAGATCATATGGTACTTGTCTTTCTCTGTTTGGCTTGTTTCACCTAGGATAATACTTTCCAGGTCCCTCCATGTCATCTCAAAGGATAAGAGATCTTTCTTTCTTACCGCTGCATAGTACTCTGTTGTGTATATGTACCACCGCTTTTTTATCCATTTGTCTACTAGTGGACATTTGGGCTGTTTCCAGATCTTATTGTAAACAGTGCTGCTACAAACCTGGGGGTACATATATTCTTTCTGATTGGTGTTTCAGGCTTCTTAGGGTATATTCCTAGAAGTGGGATCCCTGGGTAAAATGGAAGTTCAATTTTTAATTTTTTGAGGTAATATCATATTGTTTTCCATAGTGGCTGCACCAGTCTGCATTTCCACCAGCAGTGAACTAGAGTCCCCTTTTCTCCACACCCTCGCCAACACTTGTTGTTTGATGATTTGTTGATGGCGGCCATTCTGACAGGTGTGAGGTGATACCTTGTTGTTTAAATTTGCATCTCTGATGATTAGTGATGTTGAGCTTTTTTTTAATCCTCACCTAAGGACATTTTTTGATATTTTTTTCAGATAGAGTGGGAGGGGGAAAGAGAGAGAGAGAAACATCGATGTGAAAGGGACACATCGAGTGGTTGCCACCCACATGACCCAACCAGGGCCGGGGACAAACAGCAGCCAAGGTACATGCCCTTAGCGGGAACCAAACCTGGATCTCTCCGGACTGAAGGCCGACTTTCTAACAGCTGAGCCAAACCGGCCAGGGAGATGTTGAGCATTTCTTCATATGTCTCTTAGCCATTTGTATGTCCTGTTTGGAGAGGTGTCTATTTAGTTCCTCTGCCCATTTTTAAATTGGGTTCTTTGTCTTCCTTTTGTGGAGTTGTATGAGCACTTTATATATATTGGAAATTAACCCCTTATCTGATATATCATTGGCAATTATGCTCTCCCATACAGTGGGTTGCCTTTCCATTTTGATGGTTGTTTATTTTGCTGTGCAGAAGCTTTTGAGTTTGGTGTAGTCCCATGTATTCATTTTCTCCTTTGTTTCTGTTGCCTTAGGTGATGTATCAGTGAAAATTCTGCTGCATATGATGTCTGAAATTTTGTTGCCTACCTTTTCTTCTAGGACGTATATGGATTCGAGTCACATTTAAGTCTTTTATTCATTTTGAGTTTATTCTTCTGTATGGTGTAAGTTCATGGTCTAGTTTCATTTTTTTTTTTTCATGTAGCTGTCCAATTTTTCCAACACCATTTATTAAAGAGGCTGTCTTGACTCCACTGTATGCTCTTGCCACCTCTGTCAAATATTAATTGGGCATATTGCCTTGGGTCCATTTCTGGGATCTCTGTTCTATTCCACTGGTCTATATGCCTGTTTTTGTGCCAGTGCCAGGCTGTTTTGATTATGGTGGCTTTCAGTATAACCTGAAATCTGGTAATGTGATCCCTCCTACTTTGTTCTTCTTTTTCAAGATTGCTGTGGCTATTTTGGTTCCATATGAACTTTTGAGGTATTTGTTCTAGTTCGGTGAAGTATGTTGTTGGTATTTTGATGGGGATTGCATTGAATCTATAGATTGCTTTGGGTAGTATGGACATTTTAATGATGTTAATTCTTCCAATCCATGAACAGGGTATGTGCTTCCAGTTTTTTATATCTTCATCTATTTCTTTTTTCAATGACCTGTAGTTTTCTGCGAATAGGTCCTTTATTTCTTTGGTTTAGTTTATTCCTGGGTATCTTAATTTTTTTTGCCACGATGGTAAATGGGATTGTTTTTTAGTTTCTCTTTCTGTGAGTTCATCATGGGTGTATAAGAATGTCATAGATTTCTTGACATTAATTTTGTATCCTGCTACTTTGCCAAATTTATTTATTAAGTCTAGTAGGTTTTTGATGGAGTCTTTGAGGTTTTCTACGTATAGTATCATGCTATCTGCGAATAATGACAGTTTCACTTCCTCCTTTCCAGTTTGGATCCCTTTTCTATTTTCTTCCTGTCTGATTGCTGTGGCTAAGACTTCCAATACTGTGTTAAATAAGAGTGGTGAAAGTGGGCATCCTTGCCTTGTTCCTGTTCTTAAGGGAAATGCTTTTAATTTTTGCCCATTGAGTATGATGTTGGCTGTAGGTCTTTCATATATGGCCTTTATTATGTCGAGATATGATCCCTCTATTCCCACATTGCTGATCATTTTTATCAGAAATGGATGCTGGGTTTTGTCGAAGGATTTTTCAGCATCTATTGATATGATCATGTTATTTTTATTCTTCATTTTTTTTTTTATGTGGTGTATCACATTTATTGATTTGCAAATATTGTACCAGCCTTTCATCCCTGGGATGAATCCCACTTGGTCATGGTGAATATTTTTTTTGATGTATTACTGGATTCTATTTGCTAGTATTTAGTTCAGGATTTTGGCATCTATGTTCAACAGGGATATTGGTTTGTAGTTTTCTTTGTATGTAGTGTCTTTTTCTGGTTTTGGAATTAGAATTATGCTGGCTTCATAAAACGAGTTTGGAAGTCTTCCTTCTTCTTGAATTTTTTGAAACTATTTGAGGAGAATGGGTATTAGTTCTTCTTTGAATGTTCGGTAAAACTCCCTGGTTAAGCCATCCGGGCCTGAGCTTTTGTTTGCTGGGAGAGTCTTGATTACATCTTTAAATTCTTTTATTGTTACTGGTTTGTTCAAGTTGCCTATCTCTTCCCGGTCCAGTTTTGGGGGACTATGTGTTTTTAGAAATTTTTCCATTGTGGTTAGATTGTTGAATTTGTTGGTGTATAATTGCTCATAATATTTGTTCACAATCCTTTGTATTTCTGTGGTGTCAGTTATTATTTCTTCTCTCTCATTTCTGATTTTGTGTATTTGGGTTCTCTGTCTTTGTTTCTTAGTGAGTCTAGCTAAGGGTCCATCAGTCTTGTTTATCTTTTCAAAGAACCAGCTCTATGTTTCATTGATCCTTTGAATTTTTTTTTTTTCTCCATGTCATTTATTTCTGCTCTGATCTTTACTATATCCTTCCTTCTACTTGTTCTTGGGTCTTCTTTTTGTTTGCTTTCTAATTCTTTAAGTTGTGAAGTTAGGTAGTCAATTAAATATTTTTCTTGTTTCTTGAGGTGGGCCTGTAGTGCTATGAGCTTTCCTCTCAGAACTGCTTTCCCTGCACCCCATAGATTTTGTGTTGTTGTGTGTTCATTTTCATTGGTTTCCAGGGAGTTTTTAATTTCTTCCTTGATCTCCATGGTAACCCATTCATTGTTCAATAACATGCCGCCATGTTTTCAAATGTCTTTGCATGTTCTATTTGCA